CTTGCTTTTTGCATTTTTGTATTTGTTTTATTTCCATAGGATCTTTTCTGTTTCTTATCATCTGTCCTGACCTCCTCATATTGGTGTGTCCTGGAGCTCAATTCTCGGAATCTGAATGAGTTTAAGGGAGGGACATTATAGCCGACATCCATCCAGACTTGGTAATAGCCTTCAGTTTTCTTTTCTGAGATGCTAGTAATGAGATTTTGGGGTGGGGAAGGCAATAGAACTCCCTTTTGCCATCCAGACTTAATGCAGATGAAGGTATTCCAGGAAGAGCCTCTTCCTGCACTTGGATGGGAGCAATTGATGCAGTCCTAGAAGGGCCATGATTCTGAACATGCTTTTAAGGCCTTTAATTTCCTTTAGATCAAATTTCTCAGTGTGCCACAAATTGCTATATTGGGAGGACGCTGTTCTCTGAGTCCCAACTATAAAGCTGTATTCATTGTATCAGGCAAGATGCAGCCAGGAAAACAGAATCCACACTAGTTATTTTAAGAAAATTTAATATATAAATTTGGCTAAATAAGAATTTGATGAGTGAAGGACAAATGAGGAACACTTAGTAATTTAGATATAGTAATTACAGGAAGCCACTTCCTTAAGTGAGCCAGGACAAAAGGGTGTCAGGAACCAGAACATTGCCAGGGGACCTGCCCTGTAAGGAGGGCCTCGGAGTTGGCCTTGAGGAGTCAGCTACCAGCTCGTTGAGGCTGGCAGAGGGGGCACTGGCCGGGGCTGGCAGCTTCGGAGAAGGGCGGTCCTGCTGGTTCTGAGAGTGTAGGGAAAAACCGGAAACGAAAAACTGCTACTGAAACAAGGAGCTGTCATTGCCAAGTGTAATTACAACTGCTGATGGGAAGACCTTGGCCAGTGAGCATGCAAGATCTAGTCCCCTTCTAACATTGGTCCTCCGCTAGCACCCCCTATTGGCAGAATTCAGGGATCCAGCCAGCAAGAGAAAAATACATTCACCTAGGTGGCACCAATGTACCACAAAGAATGCAGAAAGGTGGGTTTGGAGCTGAGAGACAGCAGCTTAATAATCAGCTTGTCTGCGTGATTGTACACTGCAGAACAGGGACAGTGGAGGAAATAACTTAATACTTAGTCACATGGCCTACGTTCACTATGTTGGGTGTAAAATGAAATATGCAAAATATGTATAATTTACAATATATATGAATGTCAAAAAAGATGCAATAATTGCACTAAAGAGGGATATGCTCATACAGAAGAAACTCCCGAGAAGTCGGAATGATCCATGAAAACCTTAAGACAGTGTTTTCCTCCAGAGAACGGGACAAGCAAAGGAGGAAGATGCTGTGAGGGAAGAACACACACGGCCTCTGCTCTGTTCCCAATTTGTTCTTGCCAAAAGCTGGCCAGGGCTTCATGGGGAGCTGTTATGCATTGTAGTTAATTATACATACGTTTCTGTGGCTCAGAAGCATTTTCATAAAAAGTTACAATAATTTGGCATCTTCTTTTGTTTTAAGAAGCACCTTTCCATAAGGAAGCCGAACAGGGCGTTGGTGTGTCTATGCCCCAGCAGCTTTCTTTAAGGGTGGCCCCGTCCTGTCTTCCTCCACATGACGAGGGCCATGCTCCATCCTTTATGGAGCTTCCGCTGGACTTTCTGTGTTTGTTTGTTTGTTTGTTTGTTTCTGAGGTTGTTATGCCCAAGACTGACCCAAGAGTGGTAACAGGGCTTATAAAAGCACAAAATGTCTTTGCATTTTAACATTTTGTACAATTCACTATGCAGAATTAGAAAGGGTAACAAAAATGAGGTAGGGTAAGTGATGGTCATCCAACTCCAAACAAGGTGAATAGAACCAAAAATGACGCTTCTTGGCTCACAGAACTGGAAGTCTAGTGAGATTCTGGTTTCACATAACTGGATCCAGGAAGCTAAACATTTTCAGAGCTCTCTCTCTCTTGGTTCCCCTTTGTTGTCATCCTGGACATAGGCTTTTCCCAATTTGCAGTGAAGATAGCTTCCGGGTCTCTAGATTCAATTGTTCCTTTTGTCTCTGATGACAGAAGACTCCTTTTCCAACTGTTAAATCAAAAATCCTAGGTAAGATCCTCACTGGCCTCGCTTCACATGTGTACTTAGCCTTTCATGAATCTCTGAGCCCAGTGGGTCTGGTCTGTGATTGGCTGGGCTTGACCAATATTCCAGACACCTTGGACCCAAGGACGATGATACAAACGCAAATACAGTGATCAGTTCCCTGTAAGAAAGAAGGGAGAAGGGCAGGGTGTGGTGGCGCACACTTGTTATCCCAGCACAAGGGAGGCTGAGGCAGAAAATTTAGGTCAAGGCCAGCCTGGAAAACCTAGCAAGACTTGAAACAGGACAAGAAAGAAGGGAAAAGGGAAGCCTGGCAGAGAGAATCATAGACATTCACTACATGAAGCTATAGAAGTTTTTAGGATAATCCTGGACTCCCTTGGTCATTCTGTTCTTCTCTTTCCAGACAAATTGACTCAGTGAAAGCAGAAAAACTTGTACTTCTGAAAATAATTTGAGCTCTTTGACACCTATTCCACCTGTACTTTTTCATTCCTTCTTAGTTTTTTTATTCTACGTAAATGCTGCTGCTCTCACTTTGTCATATCTCTTGACATAGATTTCTTTCAAATCAGTTACACCTTTATCCAATGAACCAGTTCCTAACCATGATCATGAACTAGGAGAGTGAGACATGCATCTGCTCTCCAACTACACACTTCCTGCATCCATTTATATATGGTCAAGAATATATTCCTATCAGATGTCTCCCAGCAGGAGTGATTACAAGCAATTTCTTATATGTCATCTGCAAACAACGGTACTCTCACTAATTCACTGATAATGCCCTGTGCACCACTAAAACCCTTAAGTATGAATGGAATTCATATATGTTCATATTGGAAGTATGATCTTGGTGATGAACCGTTTTCATTTTGTCTTGTAGGAGCCTCAGCATTACTGTGTTCCAAATGGAGAAGCACTGCTCATTCTGGGCACACCCACCTCTCTGTTTTTAGTAATTTTCTCGGTTCCTTCAGCACATTTGCTCCAGGAACAGGGCTGTACATTAGAAGTATGTTAAGGAACAGTAAACATGGTTTGCCTCCTTGGAAAGCTCAGGTAGTGGTGAATGTATCACATGTGACGATTTCTGTAGCAGTGAAGCATAGAGGTCCCACATGAGCACAAAGCAGCTGCATTTCAGGTGGTGGTGGTACTGTGTCCTCAGTAGTTTCCAGGACCTATTTTTCTGTTTTTCTATTCTTCCCCATCTCGCTAAGTGGCAACGCCATCTACCCATATTCTCAGGCCAAAACCAAGGCAGCCTAGAATGCTCTCTCCTCTCTCCACAGCCGCAATTCCCCAGGCCCCACCTCTCTCTCTCTTTCTGGTCCAAACCATTGCCGTCTCTCTCACATCTTCCAAAGTTCTCCATCACCATCCTGGCTTACAATATCCCCACTCACCATCCACATGCAATGAACATCCACAGACGTGAAATAAACTCTGGCATCCCATTTAAAGGCTGGCTACTGGCTAGATGTGATGGTGCACACCTACAATTCCAGCATTCTGGGGGGCTCAGGCAGGAAAATCATAAGCTTGAGCCAAGCCTGGGCAATTTAATGACCTGTGAGAACCTGTCCCCAAATAAAAAACAAAATCAAAAGGGCTGGGGATGGGCTCAGTGTGAAGGTCCTGGGTTCTACCACACACACCAAAATGGGGGGCTGGCTAATTCCCACTTCCCCGCCTCCTGTTTCTCAGACTCCAGTCAGTGGGAGAGTTTCATCTTTGGCCTCATCAAGCCTACTGCACAAGCTGGGACTCTTCTCTCCTTAGAATGAAGGACTAGCGATCTCATTTTCATTCTGCAGATCTCAGACCAAGAGTCTCCCTGCCATGGAGAGACCTTGCCCACAGTAAAGCCCGAGACCTAATCAACATTAGCCAGCTGCTCTATCACACCGAGTTTTCTTCCCAGAGCCTTTTGGTGAGATAATTCAAGATTACAGATTTGTCTGTCCTTTCCACTGAGAGGGTAGAGATGATGCTTCTTGTGATCCCAGCCAAGTCCCAAGCACACAGCACAGTGTCAGTCCAGAAAACAATTCAAAGGCAGTTTTGAATGAATAGATTTAAACCTTTCATCCTTAAAAAATAAAAAGGTAAATAGGCCACTCCAGCATGAAAATGAGAAGATGTATGAGTTGACATTCTCTCACTTCAAAGACCAGCACGGACTGCATATGAGGTTGGAGGGAGACTTCCCTCATATGAAGCATACACTCGTGGCAGGGGCAGGAGTGGGCTGCGACCTACTCTAGGGACCAAACACATCGGCTGGAGTAGAAACAACACATACCCACAACTGGTGGAACAAAACAGGAAGACACTACAGGAAATGAATAACGTTGTACTAGAAATGTTTACAAATCCAGATCATAGTTGAAAATATAGCACACAGATGGTAGTTGTATTTTATTCTTGTTCTTTTCACACATAAAATTTTTTTAGAAAAACTGAAGGAATTTTGCCTTTCAATAAGGACACAAATCTCAGGTCACAAAAGAAAGCACATCTCTTAAAAGCAGATTTTAAGTCATTACTTATTGACTTAATTACAGTCAATATTAAATATATTACTTATTAATATAGTTTGAGTCATCTTTATGTAATTGGTACATAACATACCAATTTATTTTTTCCTTCTTAATAAAAAGGTATATTTATATAATCAGTGATCTTACAATAAAAAATAAACAAAGGTAACAAGAAGCCTAAAAAGAGTCAACAATATCTTCAAGAAAAGTTTTGCCATTTAAAAACACAAACTTTTCTGGGAACGATGGCACTTGGGAGGTTGAAGCAGGAGGGTTGTCATGAGTTCGAGGCCAGCCTGGGCTCTATAGTGAGTTCAAGGCCAGCCTCAACTACATACGGAGACCCTGTCTCAAAAAACAAAAACAAAACAAACAAAAAGACACAAACTTTTATTGCTTTTCAACAATCCTTCTCATAATAAATGTTGTAAATATGATTGGCTCGGTAGGGCCAGCTTTTCAGGACAACAGGAAGTGCAGTCTGATAGAAATCATCCCAAATTATGTTGACGCTTCCAGCATGTTAGTGTGGAGTCCATGGAGCTCTGTGATAAAACAGGAAATCTCCCAGCAGTGACTTCCGGCCATGCTCCCTGCCCCCAGCCCCAGTCACTCAGCTGATCCAGCTAAACTCTGAGGGGCAGAAGAGCAGCTTCCTCCTCCTCTGTGCCGTCGAAGCTCTGGGGTTTAGATCTACCAGGAGGGGGAGAGAGGAGAATCTTAGTATCTCTAGTCTTTTCAGGTACACATTACGATCACATTCATCATTGGGAATTGGTACCTGTACATGGTATATCTTAGTTCTTTTTCCCCATTCTCCTTCCCTTCCTTCCATCTCTCCACCCCTCCCTATTTACAAAAATCTTTGTTTCTGTTTTTTCCTTCTTTTCTATTTTTTCCCCTTCTTTCCTTCTCGTCTTTAAAAATCACCCAGTGCCTCCATCTCTAACAAATTAGCGTCTTAAAAAGTGTCTACAAGTAATGAGCCTCCAGGTGCCCAGAACTCTGCTAAGTGAGAGAAAGGATGTGGAACAGTATTTCATTTCAATTTCCACAAGACAACC